TGAAGCCCAGCAGGTCGAGGTTGCAGTGGCTGGGAGCAGCCACTGCACTCCAGTCTGGATGACAGAGTGAGACTCCAACTCAAAAAAAAAAAGACTCACAATGCAAGCTGGGCTTACACCTGTAATTCCAGCACTTTAGGAGGTGGAGGCAAGGATTGCCTGAGCCCATGGGTTCAAGAACAGCCTGGGCAACTTAGCAAGACCTCGTCTCTACAACAAATCAAAAATTAACTGGGCATGGTGGTGTGCACCTGTAGTTCCAGCTACCTGGAAGGCTGAGACGGAAGGATCACCTGAGCCCAGTGGAGGGGGGTATAGTGGCGTGTGCCTGTAGTCCCAGCTACTCAGGAGGCTGAGGCAGGAAGACTGCTTGAGCCTAGGAGGTTGAGGGTGCAATGAGCTATGATTACACCACTGCACTCCAGTCTGGGAAGCGGAGCAAGAACCCATCTCTTAAAAAAAAAAAAAAAATTAAATAAAAGGATGGAGTAAGACAGGGAACAAAAGAAGTTTCTAGCTTGGCTGATTTGGTGATCAGGAGGACCTGGAAGGGAACACAAGAGGAAGAAAAGTTTTGCAGGTGGGAGAAGAGGGAGGGGTTGACTCTGCACCTGCAGCATTTGAAAGATTGTAAGACCCTGAGTGGGAGACATCCCCACGGTCACGGGTGGTATCTGGGGTCGTTACTGTGGAAGAGGTGGCTAAGAAAAGGCAAAAAAAAGGCCCCTCTGTATGTGTGGGTGGGGGGCACTCTCAGCAGAGGCCTGAGAGGCCCAGCGAGGAGGACACGGTCCACAGTCAACAGTGCTGCAGGAGGGTCACGTAGCTGGGAATGGGACAGGTGTTCCCAGGTTCTGTGCTGAGGAGCTAGGAGCAAGGAGTGACTAGATACACAAGAAGGGGCAAGGGCTGCCCAAAAGGCAGGATGAGAAAGTGATCCAGAACACAGGGAGGTTAGCCTTGAGCAAGAAAGGGGTCAACAGACAGTCTAAATAAAGAAGAAAAGGCGACGGGTGAGCAAGAAAATAAAGGCACCAGGATCTCTGGGGTGGCAGGCACTGGCTGCTAGGGCCTCAGAACTTGGGCTTGGACTTGACGTTTCCAATCCCATAACATAAATCTGGCAAAAGGTATGAGCTAAGGACCTTGAGAGATGTCTTTCTACAGGTTATCACCTAACTCTCCCACCATTGGTCCCATGCTTCAAGAGACCAATGGTGGTCTACCCAGTACCTCCCCATCCTTCAGCACCAGTTATGGGGGATAGGTTGAGGGAGGCGTGGCAATTCAATCCAGTGGGAGGATACGTCTGCTGAGAAATGGGGGGAGGCGCTTCAGGGAAGGGTATGTGCACTAACAAAGATACCCACAAGAAGAGCAGCCTCTACTCACTGGCTGGGCGCAGTGTCTGACTTTGACATTCAGACCTGCAGCACCACCTGGCAACTGTGAGGGGCAGGAACCTGAGGACAAGTTGAGACATCAAGAACGAAAGGGTACAAGGACACATTACGTGGGCCCCAGATCTTGCTGCTGCCTGAGCCCTTCCCTTCTTGTTATACAGCTAACACCTGCTAGCTGAGCAGGGCTTTCTGTCGTAACAGCTGAAGATGCCCTAACAGACTAACAGACACCCTCCTTCCCTCCTCCTCCTCCCCTCCCAGGCTCCAGCCACGGTGTTAAATGCTCTTTGGTTCCTAAAAGTGTCTTTTTTCCCTGTGGACTATAACAAATAAGCGCCTCCCGGCACCACCACCCCTGCCAGAATACTACCCCCTTCAACGTTGAGCTCACCAACTCCTACTTGTTTTGAGGACTTCCCTGATACCTAATCCGGGACAGATCATCAGGATGTGAGGGCTCCTGATGAACAGGCCTACTGGACAGAAGGGAGGAGAGGGAAAGTGGAAGCCTTGAACACTGGTCAGAAACAAGAGTCTGCTCTGGGGCAGCTCCTGGTGGTAGGTCCACAGGAGGCCACGGCTGGCTCAGAAGGGTGGATATGAGTCTTTGAAATAATAAGGACCTCAGGGAGCTATAAGGAGAGGCCTGCGCAGATAATCCAGGGAGGAGTAGGAGGACCTGGTGTAAGCAGGCCCTTGGGGGAGAGGGGTGATGGAAGAGCCTGGTAGCATAAGGCCCAGAAGGGAGGGTGTCTGAGAGGGTCAGAGAGGCATCAGTGGTCTGCAGGCTAAGAACTCACATCATGACATGCTCCCAAATCCCACCTCCCAGTTACCTGAAAACTTCACTTTGCCCAGGATGTGGTAGATGTTTCCAGAGAAGGGACTTTGCTTGATGGAGGACTGAATTGCTGGTGGAGGAAGAGGACAGAAATGTCACCCATTCAGGGACAGAGGTCAAGTTCAGGGCAGCAGTTGGGAGTTTTAGCGACCGGAGAGGGACCCTACTTCAGAGTCCAGGGTTCATAGGTTCTAACTTCAACCCCACTCCCTGTTGCTCCCCAGTGGCTCTGCCACCATTCCCCCAGGGGTGGGAAAACTCTTTCAGTGGAGTGGAGATCAAATTATGTGGCCACCAACAATCACAGGTAGGGGACTGCTGGTTCTTCAAATCCCTTTGCCTGTTTTTGGTCCCACATGTGGGGACAAGAGACATCATACATAATACTGAAATAGTACTAGGAAGCAGGGACAACTTTTACCAGGGTGTGGGACATGTCCCAGCCAAAGCTCACCTTTACATTTGGCCACAAAGCGCGTTTTCTCCAAAGGACGGCCAAACCAAACGCAGATCTGAACCATTAATGGAAAGACTGAGCCAGCATCAAATTTACCTTCATACCTTAACAGATAGAACAAATTATAAGTACAAGTAATTTGGGCTTTGAGAGTTAGTATATACTACTTGAGGTGAACCACATATCACTTATCTCATAATATCTGCGTTTCCGTCTTGTACTCTCTATAAGGACTGATCTTCCTAACATGGGGAAGGTTTCAGACTCCAGAGTCACAGTCTTCCAATGAGCCCAGTACCTGCTCTCTCCTAAATCAGTCTGTTTCCAGGCAAGTCTGCACTCTGAGCTGGGTTCCTGTGTACCATGCCCAGCATGAGTCAGTACAGACTGGGGAACCACAGGAGTCTCAGGACCAGGCTGAGAGATGCAAGCAGCAAGAGGGTCAGTAGCTGGGAACACTGGAAAGATAATTTTCCCCCAGAAGTTCCATTTGTTTCTTTTTAGTTAGGATATAATTACCTTGTTCAGGCAGGAAGAATGATCTACTTATCCACTTTTTTTTGTTTAAGAAACAGGATCTCACTCTTGCCTAGGCTGGAGTGCAGTGGCTTGATCATAGCTTACTGTAGCCCTGAACTCCTGGCCTCAAGTGATCTTCCCACCTCAGTCTCCCAAAGTATTGGGATTACAGGTGTGAGTCATTGTGCCTGGCCTACTTTATTTTTTATTTGTAGAGATGGGGTCTTGCTTTGTTGTCTAGGTTGATCTCAAGCTCCTGGTTGCAAGTGATTCTCCCGCTTCAGCCTCCCAAAATTCTGGGATTACAAGTGTGAGCCACTGCACCTGGCTTTACCCACTGTTTAAATAAGTATGATATGACCCAAATCAGAGGTTCCTTCTAAGGATATGCCTGAAAACCTTTGATTTTAAATATTGACCTTTTACAGGTTGGGATTTTTTTTATAGAGCATAGTACAATCATTTTAGTTAGTAGAAACAGTGGGAGGTGTAAGGGATGGTATGGACAATGTAGAGAGGTGCCTGTGAATACTGAGCAAGGATAATAAAGATAATACAAATAAACATGAGAGATTAGTTCTGGCCAGACTTTAACAACTGTTTTCCCCTAAACTTTAGCAGAGCAGAAGTAACTGTCCATTCTGCAGAGTCAAGTGCAGCATGGTGGTTAGGAGAACAGGCTCCAGAGCCATTCAACCTGGGCTTGAAATCCAGCCCATCCATTTACTAGCTGTTAACTGGACAAGCTGGTAATTCCTTGTGGCCTCTGGTTACTTATCTATCAAATAAGAAAAATAATGGAATCCACGCCACAGGCTCTGTGTGAAGGTTAAAAGAATGAGATAACATAAGCAAGGCTCGCAGAACAGCACTGTCCCACAGAGCTTTCCAGAAAGATGAAAACGTTCTAGATCTGCACTGTCCAACACGGCAGCTGCTAGTCACAGGGAGCTATGGAGCACTTGAAGCGTGGCTGTGTGACTGAAAGATGAAATTCTAAATTTGGATTTTTATTAACTTACATTTCATTAAATAGCCACATGTGGCTAGTGGCTACTGTGTGGGTGTGTAGTCTTAGAATGATGCCTAGCATACATCATTAAGTGCCCAAGCATACCCTCTGGAAAGGTCCACGGGCTGTGAGGCAGCCTATAGAGAACATTGCCTGGGCCACCTCACCTGTCAGATGGGAATCCTGGAGGACTGACTGACTATATTCTCAAGAGCAACTCTCTTAACCTGGGAAGGTTAAACTCCTCGGTCCCTGTCAGCCACCTCGCCTAACTGGAGGCTAGAGGAAACACAGGACACTGTCATGCTTGGTGCCTATGGGACAACCCCTGAATCTCAATGCTGGGAAAACTCCCAAATTTGGTGCCCACAGGGTGAAGCACTGGCCATGTGTCACCCTTGTAGGGCACATCTGGTATTTTCACTTTCTCTCTTTTTTTTTTTCTGTAAATAAATCATTGGGTTTACACATAAATCTTTTCCACTTTTCAATGATGATACTTGCCAGCCAGGGTACATTAAATATCGAGATCGTAGCATCTGAGGACTTGAAAAACTATTTTCTGAGAGAATCAGCTCAATATCTTCATTCCTTTGGAAAACACACAGAAACGACCCAGGTTAATGAGGACTGTCAATCTTAACCTGCACGTTGTGCCTCCTCCCCATGTCTTCACACACATACAAATACATATGCATTCATTTTTTTTCCTGGAAAACCACTTGAAAAAGAGTTGTATTCATCATGAGATTTCACTCCTCACTACATCAGTGTACATTTTCGAAACCAAGGACATTCTCTCACAGAACCACAATTCTACTGTCATACCCCAGGAATTTAACACGATGTACCAGCAGCACTGGTATCGCCTGGAACCTTGTTAGAAATGCAGAATCTCAGCCCCAGCCTAGATCCACTGAGTCAGAAACTTAAAAAAAAAAAATTTCTTTAGAGATAGAGTCTTGCTCTGCCCAGGCTGGAGTGCAGCGATATGAACACAACTCACTGCAGCCTCGAACTCCTGGGCTTCAACTTTATTTTCCTTTAATCTGGAGCAGTTCCTCCATCATTTTGTTTGTTTTCTCATGGTGTCAATATTTTTGAAGAGCACATGCTAGTGCTCTTGTGTCCCACAATGTGGCTGATAGTTTCTTCATGATGAGATTCAGGTTACATGTTCTTAGAGAAGGTTAACAGGTGGTGATGCATCTTTCCCACTGCACCCCAATTAAGTTTCTCTGTATTCTTGCTAAGTTTAATCATTTGGTCCACACAGGTCTACTAGACCTTTCCATTATCAGGCACTCTTCCCTATTTGTAAGGAGTTGTAGTCTGTGGAGTGATACTTTACACTAGTGACTGTCTTTCCTCAACAATCTTTCAGCTACTGCTGTCAGTATATATTGATGATCTTTCCCTAAATCAAGTACTGTATTAGATTAAGGCTACAAATGATAATTTTCTAGTTGTCCCAATCCTTATTTGTTTTGTATTCTGTTGTAAAGAAGGGCTTTGTGGGTCCGGTCTCTCCCCCGCTTTTAGTATCAGTGGACTCACATTTTATTCCATGTGCTATAATCATTGTTCTTTCTTATGCTCAAATTGTCCCAAATTTGACTGGTAAGAACTTTTTGTTTTTGAGTTGGGATCTCACTCTGCTGCCCAGGCTGGATTGTAGTGGCATAACCTTCTAGACTTAGGCAATCCTTCCACCTCAGCCTCCAAGTAGCTGGGACTAGAAGTGCGTGTCTCCATGCCTAGCTAATTTTTAAATTTTTTTGTAGAGACAGTGTCCTGCCATGCTGCCTAGGCTAGTCTCAAACTCCTAGGCTCAAGCAAATCTCTCACCTGGACCTCCCAAAGTGCTGGGATTACAGGTGTGAGCGACCATGCCTGGTCTTTTGACACATCTCTACTAATCTTTGAGTACTTCCTTGCTTTGTTGGCATAAATGGACCAGGTTCACCTTGTATTTTCCCAGTCCTAGACATGCAATCAGCTAATTCTTCAAGGAGTCTTGATATCCTGTAGTGGGGATTGATATTTAGAAACCAAGACATACAGGTAGGGGTGTTTATTGCTCCCGTGGTATTATTATTCTGGTCCCTTTCAATAAAAAGTATTAGAAAAGATACACTAAAAAAAATACTGAATTTACACTGAGTCTCCAATTCAAATAAACATTTTCCTCACTTTCCCTGTTTGACATTTATAATCTCCTTTCCTCAATTAAGTGATGTTTGGAATCAAGTTTCCAACAGGATTGTGTTCAAAAGTTACCTGAATTAATGACCTTTTTTTGTGTGGTTGTCATTACTTTGAGATACAGATTTTGGTTTGTATTTAATTCAGTGTTTTCCCTCCTTATTGATATAATTTTTTTTTTTTTTTTGAGTGGGAGTCTCACTCCGTCACCCAGACTGGAGTGCCGTGGCCATTCCTGGCCACCGCAGCCTCGACCTGCTGGGCTCCGGCGATCCTTCTGCCTCAGCCTTCTAAGTAGCTGGAACTACGGGCACGCGCTACCATGCCCAGCTAATTTCTGATTTATTGTAGAGATGAGGTCTTGCCAAGTTGCCCAGGTGGGTCTCGAACCCCCGGGCTCAGGCAATCCACTCACCTCAGCCTCCCAAAGCGCGGGATTACAGGCTGAGCCACCGAGCCTGGCTTATTGATATAATTTTTGAGTACAGAAATTGTTTGCATGGTTCAAAAGTCAAAACTATATAAAAAGGTTTGCAACCTTTTAGTATCCTAATTAAGCAAATAAAATTGCTACATGACAAGGTATTTTCTCTTCCTACATACACACACATACAAAACCATTAATTCTCTACTTTTGGTTTGTAATTTGAATCCAAGTCCATGAAGTTAAGAGATAATTCCTTTATGTTCTCTATGTCATTTCTCTCACATATTAACACAAGAAACATTAAGTCTTGACTGCAGGGCCAGGCACACTGGCTCACACCTGTAATACCAGCACTTTAGGAGGTGGGAGGACAGCTTGAGGCCAGGAGTTCAAGACCAGCCTGGGCAACATAGCAAGACCCTGTCTCTGCAAATTAAAAAAAAAAAAAAAAAAGGGACAGAGATATAGTCTTAATTTTCATCCTTCAATGGATAAAAATGTGGATGAATCAAAACAAAATGCCCCAGAACAGTACAGGATACACATGGGTTCTTCCTGGTGATATTTACAGTACATAAAAAGAACTTAAAAACCTGATGTCAGCCGGGCTCGGTGGCTCAGCCTGTAATCCCGCGCTTTGGGAGGCTGACGTGAGTGGGTTGCCTGAGCCTGTGGGTTCAAGATCAGCCTGGGCAACTTTGCAAGACCTCATCTCTACAATAAATCAAAAATTAGCCAGGTGACACGTGCCTGTAGTTCCAGTTACTTGGAAGGCTGAGGTGGAAGGATCACCTGAGTCCAGCAAGTCAAGGCTGCCATGGTCATAAGCATGTCACTGTACTCCAGCCTGGGCAACAGAGTAAGATGCCAACTCAAAAAAGAATTTTAAATGATCATTTCTTTTTAGAGACACGGTCTCACTCTGTTGCCCAAGTTGGAGTGCAATAACATAATCATGGCTCACTAAAGCCTCAAACTCCTGATCTCAAGCAATTCTCTCACCTAAGCCCCCTAAGTAGTTGGGACTACAGGTGCACACCACCACACCTGGCTCAAACATTGACTTATAATTGTTCAGGACTTAGATACAATAGAAAGAACCTGTGGGCCATGGACAGAGTACTGTATCTGAGAAGGTGGCTAGTACTGCCGAGTGGAGTCTATGGAAGTTTACCTGGTGACAATTCCATTTTCTGCAAGAATGAAGGCTGCAGTAGGATTCGCAGCCCTGATGAGGCTCTGTAGCTGAACAAGAAGAGGGTGCCGCTGCTCCATGGTATGACTAGTGAACACCACATTACTCACCAGGCCTGTGGAATAAACCCGAGAACAGTTTAGCCTTCAGAGCCCTGGTTGGAGATAAGGGCTCACACAAACATGTGCCCTTGCTTCTTCCCCTCATCATTCCTTCCAGAAGTTGCCTGGTATAGACAGCCCGCACCTCAACACCGACATACCAGCCATCACTCCCTTCCCCATTCCTGGCACTGCCACCTCTGGAGTGAACGGCTTCGCCTCTGTGGTTACCTCACTTCCTAACCTCCCAGCCTCCTCTGTCATATTAATTCTGATTTCTGGCTGATACCCAGAGCTCTTGGTCGGTGGGCCCTTCCACAGCCCTAGAGTAACCTCATTAGGAACTGGTGTCATTTACTTTCACCAGTTCAGATCATAGCATTTATCAAAAACTATCCATATGTCAGGCGCTATCCATTATATCCTCAAAGAGCGCATGGCCAGGATGGAGTCACACAATTCCAAGACAAACGCTAACAGATTTCACATAGTAACATGTCAAGAAAGGAGGGGTTGCGAAGTGGGCCACGATCACTCCCAATCTTTTTGTAAAAATATGTAAGTAAAATTCACAAGACTACAGAGAACTGAAAATTAGGAAGGTTACCATACCCCACTACCCCAAGATAATTATGATACTTTGTCCATATCCATTCCTATTTTTACATAGTTATAATCATAGCATATACATCATTTTTGCTATAAGATCATTTGAATCTTGAATTCAATGTCTTTTATTTACTTCTTAATATTGTGGACAATTTCAAATCTATACAAAAATAGAAAAAAATCTATACAAAAATAGAAAAATAGTAGAATGAAATCCCATCTCCTGGCTTCAGAATTATCAACACGGTTAATAATCTTCTTCTGCCCCTCCACCGCATGACCTTGAAGCCAACCTCAGACAACCAATTATTTCATTCAAAAAAAAAAACAAAAACTTCAGTATGTGTTTCTAAAACATAAGGACTCTAAAAATTATTATCAATCAATTCCTTAATATTAAAAAAATCCAATGTGTTCAAATTTCCTGTCTTATGTTTTCTTAGAGCTAATTTTTTTTTAGGCAGGAACGACATTATATTTTATTGATACATCTCATAATTCTCTTTCCGTTTATGGTTTTTCCTTATTTCCTTGTGACTTATTTAAAAAACTGCATCCTGTAAATTTCTCCCAGTCTGAATTTTGCTGATCACATCCCCATAGTGCTGTTTAACATAACAGCCAGACCTAGAGGTTTGACCAGCAAAACTTTTATAGATTCAATATTATTATTAACTTGTTTTTTAAAAAATTCTTTTCCTAACTTCTTAAGTTGAATGCTTAATTCATTATTTTAAAAAACTGTTGTTTAGTAGCATAGTAACTTAAAATATATATTTTCCTTTGAAAGTATTCATGACAGGTTGTAGACAGTATCCTTTATCATCAGAAATGGCCCTTTAAAAAATTTCCCAATTTCCTTCTTGAGCTCGGCCCTGCCATTATTAATATTGCCTCCTTTTCTTTGTTTAGATTTGTCTTTGAGGGCTTTGCCTCCTGCTCTTTAATCTTCCTTACTTAGTTCTATATGTTTCCTTGTTAAGGCATTGTATAATTAAGTTTATTGGTTTAATCTGAGACACTTCTTTTGCACCCATTTATATTTCATGACACCTTGGTTCTGTCACCCTGTTTATGTTTTAATTGCTTTTATTTTTAACCTTTAGCAATATGATGTTTGCATTCTTGACATTTTTTGTTTTTCTTCTGATAGGTGGTAGGTTTACAGTCTGGTGTTAGTTCTTTTTCTCTTTTTTTTTGAAGTCAGGGTCTCACTCTGTCTCCCAGGTTGGAGTATACAGTGGCACGCTCATGGCCACCACAGCCTTGATCTGCAGGGCTCAGGCAATCCTTCTGCCTCAGCCTTCCAAGTAGCTGGAACTATAGGCACGTGCCACCCTGCCCAGCTAATTTTTTGATTTCTTGTAGAAATGAGGTCTTGTCAAGTTCCACAGGCTGGTCTCAAACCCATGGGCTCAGGCAATCCTCTTGCCTCTGCCTCCCAAGTGCTGGGATTACAGGCTTGAGCTACTGAGCCTGGTTGGTTTTAGTTCTTAAAATAGCTGTCTTATTACCGTATATCTACACCATTGTTTCTTATAATGTTTTTTAGACCTTTAGACAAGGCCTACTAACTCTTCCATATGAAAGATGAGGAAATTAGTATGCCCTTAAATTCTCACTTCTCCACCATCACATTTGGGTGGTTATGTTAGGATTTTTAATTCCTCTAGTGGCTCCTTTTATATCTTTAAAGAGCACAATTTACCCTTTATAACTTGATTTGATAACTTTAAACTTTATCAATTTCCCATTTTGAAATATGTAAAGATAGTAGGAGGGGAGACCAAAAAAAACCTGGAATTATTTTTTGGAGGGCGGGCTCCTTGTAGTACAGGTATCCCCCCCCTAGAAAAGTGTTCTGGGAACCATCAGCATCAGTGTACCAGCTAGCATTGTTGTGAAAGGCTGCGTTTGGCTTTAGTGAATTTTTCTAGAGATTCTTTCAATGCGTTTGCCCATTTCATGATGGGCGAGTTACAAGCGCACCTGCTCACACTATGCTGCGTGTTCAGCAGTTCTGGACCAAAAATGGCATGACCCCCAAGCTCTGCCCTTCCTATTCACCCAATCTCACCCTGAGAGATTTTTTTTTGTTTCCCCAATGAGAAGAATCCTCAAAGGGAAATGTTTTGCCATCGTGGAAGAGGTGAAACAAAAAAACCACAGAAGCACTGAAAGGCATCAAAGTTGATGTGTTCAAAAATTGTTTTGAGGGGTAGAAAAAGTTTCTCAATAGGTGTACTGCATCAGATAGAGAGTATTTTAAAGGTGACTGAAGCTTAAATATGTAAGAATACTCATTTTTAAATAAATTTTGCTTTTCTGGGGTCCTCCCTCGTATGTCTCTTCTGCTGCCTCCTAATTTTTTGCAAACTATAATTTCATATATAGGTTTCAAGATTTTCAACATTTACTTTCTATTCTGTAATGTAATTCTCATTTAATCTGTACTTAAAAAGACTCAGTGCTCATCACCAACCCTTTTACTAATAGACTAGTTTTACAATTAATTAGTTCTTAAGTAAACATCTCTAAATTATGGAGACAGCTGCTTTTCTAAGTGATATGATAACTATCATAAATAAATACAATAACAAATACTCAGTAGAGGAGACTCTCTGTGCTGATACTATTTTAAAAAATTCATCTATATTTAGCTTTTGAGGACAAAACTCACAATGTATAAAAGGGTTCACAAAGAAAATCTTTCCTCTCCACATACCTAAGTTCCCGTCCCTGGAGGTAAGCACAGTTATCAGACTCCTACCTATCCCAGAGAACTGCTGAGTATATACAAAAGTGTGTGTGCATAATTTTTTTCCACAAACACTACACTGTTCTGCACCTTATTTTTTTCACTTAAGCTCTTTACTTTGTAAATGCAGTAAAGTTTACATCTTCTTCAAATTTTCCCTAACACCTTCCCAACTCATCCTTCTCTCAAGTCATCCTGCTCTCTCTCCTTCTCTTAGCTAAACAAAGAAAACAGCTCCTTTGACTAACACTAGTAGTACTTTCATTCTTATTTACCTTCTTTCTTTATGTGAAAAGAAAGCATATTGTACATAATAAGGCATGAGTTTTAGAGCCAGGCAAACCCGAGTTTGAATTTTGAGCTCCACTAATTATTAATCGATGATATTAGGCAAATGGCTCAAATTTGTCTCTGAGCCCCAATTTCCTTCTCTGTAAGATAGGAACAGTAACACATACTTCTAGGTTATTGGTACAATGCTTATCATAGGGCCTATAGAGAGCAAGAGTCCAGTAAGCACAACCAACCATCACTACCACTACTGCCAGTTGAGCATCAGTCTGAGAATGGGAGTTCTATGTGTACACCAAAGGGTTGCCAAGCAGACAGTGGATGTGGCACGTGGTCTTGGCAGGAAGTGAAGTCACGTGACTCTCATCAGCCAAGGTTGCTGAGCTCATGGCTTAGGTGAGGGGCAATCAACAGTTTGAAGGCAACTTCCAGCACCCTCCCTACCCCGCCTCTAGTCTGAGGCAGACATTAGTGATCCTTCCTCTTACCAAAAACACATGAAAAAAAGTGTCCCAAAACTCTAAAACCTGAACTTAACCTCAAAAATCCATCTGATGCATTCCATTCAAGACCCGGGAATAGGGATTAGGAGCACTCTGCCATGGTCACCTGCAACAACGAGGAAAAGGCCCACACTAAGTGCTTGCAGACGATGTTGGATCTATTCTCTCCTTGGTTCCAAGATATGACTCCTTCTCTTCTTAGGTAGCTGTTAGTTAACAGTTTTCTCCTCCCGAGGCCTGCTGAGCCCTAGCGTTCTCTTCCCAGAGGCAACCACTGTTAGCATGCATATACGAGTATGTAGGAATACACAGACCACATTTTCTTTCCCCTCCCTCCCTTTCTTCAATCTTTTTTTGAGATAGAGCCTCACTATGTTGCCCAGGCTGTAATGTGACGGTGCAATCATAGCTCACTGAAGGCTCAAGGGATCCTCTGGCTTTAGTCTCTCAAGTAGCTGGGACTACAGGCACATGCCACCATGTGTGGAAAATTTTAAAATTTTTATTTTGTAGAGATGGGATCTCACTGTGTTGCCCAGGCTGGTTTCAAACTCCTGGCCTCAAGTGATCCTCCCGCTTCAGCCTCACTAAAGTGCTGGGATTAGAGGTGTGAGCCACAGCGCCTGGCCAGAATCACATTTTCTTAAGTCCTTCTCCCATACTGAAAGCCTCTATCCTTAAGGTCTTCATGCATGACATCGCTGTGGTAACAGCACATACTAAGGGAATTCAAGTGAAGGATATATATCAGCATCATGTTTATTCTATTTTAAAAAATTCCTCACATACTCTATTTAGAAGCTTGAACATTACAATGAAACTTCTCAGCTAGGAAACCCTAATGAAGGTGACACAGGTGGTACCAGAACTCCCATTCTCATTTAGAAAGGTCACTCTGGAGGCCAGCAAGAGCCTGATGCGAGAACCCCATGACCATGGTATAGCCATAGAAAAGGAAACAATGTAAGGCAAGGTCAGAAGGCCAGGCCTAAAATGTGGCACAATGCAGAAGCAGGCAGGATGCTAGAAGGTTCAGCACATTTATATGGGAGCCAGATCCCACAAGGTACCTGGAAAATTCTCAGGGGTGGAAGACAAGAAGAGCTGTGCTGGGTTTGCAGTGAGGCTGAGTGAAGACCTATAAAGACCTTGCGACTCTGTTTGGTATCTTCTTGGGCAAAATAAACAGGAGAATTAGACTAGCACAAACATGCCCACCTGAGCAGTATACACCAGGGTCACAAGCACAGGCCTGGACTGCCCAAGAAAAGGCTGGGATCCGGGTCTCTGACAGACACACCTGCACAAAGTCCTACCTGCTGCACAAGTACCATGTGGACAAACCTTGTGGGGTTAAGATTCTAGGTCAGGAACTGGGTAAAGAAAAGGGGCTTTGATTTATAGGGAAACAAGCAAGAGGATTATCCCTAGCATTCCTCAGGCCAGCTATGTAAACTGCCACCTGCCAAGAGGAAATGCCATCTGTGAGGCAGGTACAGCAGCTATCTCTGGAGCACAGGGTGAACAGGCCACAGTGAGCACTTTCACCATGCTTGGGCCAGGAGCTTCCTTCTATTCCGTATCAAGGAGTGGACACCCATATCTGGCCAGTCTCATCAGTCTGGGTTGTGAGTGAGCAGGGAGCCTGGTCTGGCCAGTTTCTAAGAGAAGAGAAATATCCCTATGGTCTGCCTGACATCCCAGTCTGAGCTAAAGGATTCCAGCAGGCCAGAAGAAAATGAAGGTCACTTCTATCTATAGATACTTTTAAAAGCAGGCCATGGCTGTAAAATATCTCCACTCTGGTTTCAAAACAGAACTATAATGAGCCTTGCTTGCTGTTTAAGCACTGAGATTGTTTCCTAGTCCTTGGATTTCTGTAATACATAATCATCTTGAGGCTGCAAAATAGTCTTTTTCTTATTGTAAAATAATCCTTTGTTGTTAAAAGCAATGAATCAGGGAGCCTGACTCATGAATGAGAGGCAATACACTCCCTTGGGACACGAAGTGTTTGTCTACTGGTGGCAGATCCCACCTCCAAGTCAGCCACCAAATCTCCAAGGGGAAAAGAAATACTTGCCTTTTATCTCCTCCCGCCCCAGACAGCCCATGCCCATGGCAAGCCTGATCAGGCCAGTTCATAGGGTCCTGTGGGCCCAGATGCAAGGCACTGTCACTCCAGAGGCCCTTGAAGGAGTTCAGAAAACACAAATGTGGTCTCAAGGTCACCTGCCCACATCTGATTACAAACCTAGCTCTACACACGCACAGAATTTGACACATATTGTCTTTGAATAATGGGTTGAAAGGCAGTGTTAACAAAATGTGCCTACCAAGTGCCAGAGAGAACAGTCTGTCTTGGCCTCAAAGGATTTCGTCTAAAAGAGGGTATCCCCTCATGAGTCAGGCCCAAGCCCTGGTTCGTGGACAATGAAGACAGAGCACTTCTCCAAGGCTCTCTGCCAGGGAAGCCTCACCATCTGTGTTTGTCCCTCATGCAAAAAACCAGAGGGGCATTGAGGAAGAATGCCAGGGAGTCAAGGTGCACTAGGATGTCAGCCATCACATGGTGGACAAGAGGCTTGGAAAGAAACAAAAGGCACCAGCATTTACAAGAGTAAGCCAGGGCCTGGGGCTGCACAGGTTAGTAGGTCCCAGGCACACCTGCTGGCCAGTACTGCCCCCTAGGCAAATGCTTCCACAACTCCCCCTGCCCCACTGAAGTTCTTAATTGAGGACACGGTTTCTCTAAGTCAACTTTCACTTTCAGTCTGAGTGCAAGACACCATTCCTTATTCCTCAGGGATCTCATTTACCAAGCCTAGTACCTCTCTTTAGCCTTCAGGTTTTCTTAGTAGCAAAGATCATCTTCTTCTTTTTTTTTTTTTGAGTTGGAGTCTCACTCTGTCACCCAGACTGCAGCCTCAACCTGCTGGGCTCTGGCGATCCTTCCGCCTCAGCCTTCCGAGTAGCTGGAACTACAGGCGCGCGCTACCACGCCTGGCTAATTTTTTGATTTATTGTAGAGATGAGGTCTCGCCGAGTTGCCCAGGCAGGTCTCGAACCCGCGGGCTCAGTTAATCCACTCACCTCGGCTTCCCAAGGCGTGGGATTACAGGCTGAGCCACTGAGCCCGGCTGCAAAGATCTTCTTTGCTAATCATTCAGAAAGAACAATTCCTGGAAGCATTCCCTTCTAGTAACCATCCTTTTTATAGTCTCTAATACCCCAGAATATTGCCCACACTTGTTGGCTTCCAGTATTTCACTTGGCCATCGTCCGCTTAGGCTAGTTTCAGCCCTCACCACTCCACTCCTGAGATCCTCCTGCCAAGGGCACCAGTGTCCGTCACACTTATAGAGCAATGAGGTTTTTCCCTGTACTTCCCTCGAGGTCTCTGCAGCATTAGACATCACTGATCTCTTCCTCCTTTCTAGGTGTCTGAGGCAGTGCGCTTATTTGCTTCTCTTGGTCTCCTGGACCTTCTTTTCCACCCCCATTTCTGGACTTCTGACCTTTTCAACTCAACATCTGGATACTGGCTAACTACAAGTCTATGCCATTAACTTTGACCCTGACTTCCAAACATGTATCTTAGGGTCGAACAGCCCTCCTTGGTTACTTCCTGGACCTACATTTTCTCTTGTGCTTCCTATTTATTTATTTATTTGAGTTGGAGTCTCACTCTGTTGCCCAGACTGGAGTGCAGTGGCCGCTCCCGGTCACCGCAGCCTCGACCTGCTGGGCTCCGGCAATCTTTCCGTCTCAGCTTTCTGAGTAGCTGGAACTACAGGCGTGCGCTACCACGCTCGGCTAATTTTTTGATTTATTGTAGAGATAAGGTCTCGCCAAGTTGCCCAGGCAGGTCTCGAACCCGCGGGCTCAGGCAATCCACTCACCTCAGCCTCCCAAGGCGCGAGATTACAGGCTGAGCCACCAAGCCCGGCTGCGCTTCCTATTTAAAGAATAAGTACCATCAACCTCCCCAGCCTCCTAAACTAGAAACCAGGAGTCTTTTTACTAGATACCTAGATACCTCTTTTTCCGACTCATGTCCAACATCTAGTCTGTCTCCAGATCCTATTGATCCAACTTCCACAAAATCTCTTTAATCTGCCTGAGGTGGACACTGAGGATGGACCCAGTTAACCTCCACTCCTTTCTGCTTTTGGGGTACAGTACCTGGAAAGTAACAGGAGCCTCTAAAAGCTGGACCTGAGACTTCCTGGTAGTCCAGCATCCAATATACACATTCCTCTCTCCAGAGACCAGCCTCCTGCCCTGGGCAGCACCCAGCTCAGCTGGTTCCCAAGACAACAGCTCTGGTATGCTCTGTTGTTTCCGCTCCCTGTGGACTGGCAATGGGATCAGCAGGGCGAAACTACACTGAGGACAGCAAGTTGTTTTCTTCCTTCTGATTTCTGCTTGCTGGACTGGCTCAGAAAGCCCGGACCCCAGGCAAGTCTCCTGATAACAATGAGCATTTCATCACCACTGCAGGACACTTAGAATTTATTCTGGATCTCCAGGCATCACAGATACTATGACTAGAAAGTGCTGCTCCCAGGGTCTCCAGGTGGTAGGACATTGCAAGGTTGAGTGCAACCTGCAGGATGGGTGAATTCTTCTCAGTGTTGGCAAGGAAATGTGGAAAATTCCAGTGTGTGTTGGGGAGTAATAAAAAAGACAGGTCCTGCTAGGCTAAGTTCTGCCCTCTTGGGACTGAAGCACATCAAGACCTTGCTGATCTAGAGGTCAGGATAACTACTCAGTCCACTAACATTTAGCCAGAAGGCCAAGCCAGACTTAAGTCTAGCTCAGGAAAAGTGGTCCCAAGGCAAGCTCTTGGAAGAAATCTGCCTATCAAATATGTCACAAAGCAAAGATGTCAAAGTTTTCCCTGGACCAATTTTGTTTGCTTTTGATTTCAGAATGGTAAGTAGGAACATGAAGAAAAGTCTGTTGCAATATTCTACTGAATTTGAAAGGCATATATGCTGGAAGTGAAGCATATTACTTACCTTGTGAACACTGGTCGAGAAATTTAGGGAACAGAAATCTGGAGGGGAAAAAGATATTTAAAAACTGTTCATCTCAGAGTTATCATTGATTAGTTTCCACAAAAATGGGAATATCACTGATAAGCAAGTTGACTTACTTGGGGCAAGTAGCAGCAGCAGTGAGCATCTGGGACAGCCATGACTATTCAAAGGATTTCTATGACTCTGCATCAAAGCTCCCCAAGCCAGGAGCCCCACAGAAGACCCTATATGGCCAATTCTAGGTGGAATGTTAAAGGGCAGATATTGGGAACAGGACCAGTTTTTTAGACTATAGAAGATGGAGAAAGAGCTGGACTTTTTGAAAAAGATAAGTTTTTGAGTAAAGTGGATATTTCAAGGAAAAAGTGAGAATTACACTCACCTAACACTACCAGGGGCTTTTAGTACCTAAGTCGCCATGCTAGAATCTCAGCTCCCATTCTTTTTTTTGAGTTGGAGTCTCACTCTGTCGCCCAGACTGGAGTGCAGTGGCCGCCCCCGGCCACCGCAGCCTCGACCTGCTGGGCTCCGGTGATCCTTCCGCCTCAGCCTTCTGAGTAGCCGGAATTATAGGCATATGCTACCACGCCTGGCTGATTTTTTGATTTATTGTAGAGATGAGGTCTTGCTGCCCAGGCGGGTCTCGAACCCACGGGCTCGGGCAATCCACTCACCTCAGCCTCCCAAAGGTGCGGGATTACAGGCAGAGCCACTGAGCCCAGCTTCAGCTCCCATTCTTAACTCAAATAGTAAAAAAAGCAAGAAACTGACCAGCTAGAATACAAGTGACTGATTCAAAGTGAGAATCAGCTTATAACCATAACATTGCAGTAGGCTCCAGAAAAAAACTTATATTCTTATGGGGCTTTAAAACTCTTAAAACATGGCCGGGCATGGTGGCTCACATCTTAATCCCAGCACTCTGAGAGGCTGAGGCAGGAAGATTGCTTGAGCCCAGAAGACCAGCCTAGCAAACATAGTAAGACCAAGTCTCTACAAAAAATTAAAAAATCAGTCAGATATCGTGGCATATGCCTGTAATTCCAACTACTCAGGAGGCTGAGATGGAAGGATTGCCTGAAACCAGGAGGTAGAGACTATGCTGAGCTGTGATGGCGCCACTCTATACCAGCCTGGACAATAGTGAGATACTGACTCAAAGACAAAACCTCCTAAAACATCATGTGGCTCTTCTCAGGGAAGAAAGCTAACATGATCGGGCACAGTTGTCTTTTCTCGAGTTCCTACTGTGGGCAAGGCACCATGCAAGCAGTTCATGAATACAATCTTGCTCTGTTGTCCTGTCCACCACCCCATGCCTGGGACATTCGATAGACGAAGAGCATGGGTTTAGGATGGCTATGCAGGCTAAGCAGCTTGCACAAGATCTCACATGTAGCCAGGAAGTGGTGGGACCCAAGTCTATTTGAAATCACAGAGCCTCATGTGTCTTCTTCCCTGGCCAGTGGGTTGCTTGTTGAAGCCACTCTTCTGAACAGCTGCTGGTCTAGTTGGCAGGTATTAATGCTGTTCACAACTGGGGGAATTTCTCTCCTGGAATTTTGTTGGTGGTGACAAATCTTCATCCTTACACTTGATTTCTGACAAGAGTCAAATTTGGTGAATGAGTGAGTTGGATGAATACCACTTTGGATTATGGATCTAGTTCTCTTGCCTGGCTTCCTCATGGTTTCTGAAGAATTCCAAGGAGGAAACCCCACATGCTGTGAGCAAGGTTAAGGGGCCTGGAACAAGTAAAGACACTTCCACACTAGAGTCTCCCAAGAACGAATTTACCAACTTTATTATGCTCAGTCCACTGAATGCACAGCAAACACATTCTTAGAAAGCATCCATCCCTACAAGTGCCTGTGACTTTGGAGCACATGCATGAAGGTCCATCTGGGGCCCCATTTTCCATTTCACAGCAGCCTATGGCAATTCACAACAGAGGCATCTTCCCTTAAGGTATCACATCCAATCACAGGTTTGGCACTCATAGTTTAAACAGAGGATGGGATCATTAAGCTACTGGATTTAAGCAGCTGGAAAAAAAATATTTAGAACACATGGACTTGCACACATATGTGATTCCCTAAAACTGGAATGCAATTTCTCATGTCTTGGTATCCTTGTCTTTCAAATTTGTATGTTGGCTTTCTTCCTAATCCAGCTAGGAGCTGCAGTTATGTCTTTTTTTTTATTCTGAGTCAGAGTCTCACTGTTGCCTAGGTTGGAGTGCAGTGGCAAGCTCATGGCCACCGTAGCCTTGACCTGCTGGACTTAGGTGATCCTTCTGGCTCAGCCTTGCAAGTAGCTGGAACTACAGGCATGAGTCACCATGCCCAGCTAATTTTTTTATTTATTGTAGAGATGAGGTCTTGCCAAGTTGCCCAGTCTGGTCTTAAACCCCCGGACTCAAGCAATTCTCTCTCCTCTGACTCCCAAAGTGCTGGGATTACAGGCATGAGCCACTGTGTCTGGCTTATTGTTACTTCTTTATAATTTTCTCCTTCTTCTTATTTTGTTTAAAGAGATGAGGTCTCGCTGTTGTCCATGCTGGTCTTGAACTCCCAGACTCAAGTAATCCTCTCGCTTTGCCCTCCCCAAAGTGCTGGCATTACAGGTATAAGCCACCACGCCTGGCATTCTTAATATTTTTTGAGTCAGGGTCTCACTCTGTTGCCTAATTCAGGGTGCAGTGACATGATCATGGTCAACACAACCCTGCCCTACTTAGGCTCAGGTGATCCTCCCACCTCAGCCTTCTGAGCAGCTGGGACTACAAGTATACACTACCATACCGGGCTAATTTTAAAAGTTTTCTATAGAAATGAGGTCTCACTATATTGCCCAGGCTGGTCTCGAACTCCTGGGCTCAAGTGATCCTCCCACTTCAGCCTCCCAAACTGCTGGGATTATAGGTATGAGCCACCGCACCTGGCCAATTCCTCTTTTTTCTTTGACTACCAGTCCAAAGGAGTCTTTTGAGGACCCAGCACTATCCAAAGAATGAACTGAGCATTTATTACTTACAAGGTGACTGATACATTCCAAAATACAAGTACACATAAAGACATGTCTCCTTCTGGTGGGTGGCACACTCAAACACTTCACACCCTGGGAGCTGGAGGTGGTCCGATATCTCTACCTGTGCTCCATGTAGCAGCTCAGGGGTTCCACACATGCTGTGATGGCACCAATGCTGAAGGAGGACTTGACATTTGAGTCTGGGTGGGTCTGCAGGGCCTGGACAACATCAATAACATCTGTGTAACTGGTGGGAGAGAAAGGGAATGATTAATTTACTAATTGGTGCTACAAAGTAGAGGAAGAGGGGAGTACCAAGTGGTTGAGTTACGGAGGGTAGAAAGAAAACCAAGAGAAGCCTGCAATCCAGGCCCTTGGTGTCACCCCACTGTCTAACATGGATTCCCTGGAACCTACCAAATGTTTCTGCACCCCCAAGTTCTATTAGTCCTTTTAACTGTGCAAGAGTGGGTGAAAGCCCACCCTGCTCTGGAGGTAACAGGAAGCCTGCAGGTGACCTTGGGGCTCTGAGGGTAGAACTTGGTGCCTTTAGGCATCGTGTTAGGAGCCCCTGCTGTGGTATTTTCTTTAGCAGTTCCTTCCTCTCCTTCCCACCTCACAGAACATGCAGACAAGAGAAAAAAATGATCGTGAGGACCTGTCCAGGTCTGCAGACACATGAAATACAGTCTGCATTCACATAGCCCTCGAAGCTCCAGTTTCACAGAGCCAATTTAATATCTTACTTAGAACCTAAGATGTTCATGACCCAACTCCTCCAAAGCTCTGCTCCTTCCAAAGCTTTGTCCATCTTAGCAGAGAGGACCCTACTCTTTCAGATGCCAGGCCCAAAGATTTGTTGGGAGTCTCTTTTGACTTCCTTTTTTCTCGTTCTTTAAAATCTAAGTAGAAGACATCACTGCTCACACCTCCGTGCTCCCACTAACTGCTACAAGTTCTTGCTTAGATCACCCTGACAGTCTCTCAGCTGCTGCTGCTTCTGTCCTTGCCTCTCTTCAGTCTGTTTTCAACACAGAAACCAGAGGGATATGCTCAGCTGAGAGTCAGATCACGTCACCTCTCTGCTTAAAACCCTCTAGTGGCTTCCATATCAGTAGATGTGAGAGCCAAAGCCCTTACAATGGTCCAGGCAGTCATCTGTGATCTAAACCCCCACAGAGCAGGGAAGAATTTCATCTACCATCACTTCCCTTGCCCTAATCCAGCCACTGTGGCCTCCTGGCTCTTCCCTGAAAATGCCAAGCATACTTCTACCTCTGTACTCTCTGTCCCCTCTGGTTGGAATGTTCTTTTCTTCAGATATCTGCATGGCTCACCCCCTCACTCTTGTCAGGTCTCTGCTCAAGTGGCATCCTCTGAAAGAGGCCTCTTCTGACTTCACACACCATATGCAATACAGCAACCCTTCCTCTTGACACTCCCTGTCCCCTTCCCCTAATTTTTCTTCCAAGCACCAATCAGTCACTACATAAACTATTTTCTCATTTATTTGTTTATTATCTGTCTCCACAACAAGAATGTGAGGTGGTTGTTGAGTGCTGTAATCTCTGCAGCTTAAAGCAGGGTAGATGAATGAACTAGATGTCCAACCTGGGGCAGACCCCTGGGCACTCCAAGAGGAGACCCACCCTCTTCACCATGTAGAGGAGAACTCTTTCCTGACAGATCCAGCCTATCACCAAAAGGTCTGTTCCTACAGAGGAAAGTCAAACCTGATGGGCAGCCTTGCTGATTAGATGGGCCTGGGTCTAGCCTGGGCCCTTGGGAGGCCAGTGATGGTGGTGGTGTGGACAGGTGCAGTCCATATCAACCATTCCTGAGTTCTTATACACTACTCATCTGTAACAAGGCCCTGGGCTTTATCCCAGACTACAATATCATCCTCTCCCCAGGGGAGCTTAGAGAGCAATGCAAATGTGTCTATGGCCTCAGTCCTGATCTGCTGGTAGTGTTTCAGCGGAGAATGGGGTGCACTAGGTTCTAGAGTTCCCCCACAAGGGCCTGGCAGCCAGAGCTCCTTCAGAGCAAGCCCACAGTCTTCCCTTCTCCAAGGCCCAGGCATGTATGTGTATGGCCACATGGGGTTCCTTCCACTGAGGTGCCTGGTAGGCCTGGATGCCAGGAGTTCCCCACACCACATACACAGTCAAGCCCTTGCAGCAGCCCACATGGTAAGCAGGACTGAGGTATACATGCTGCCCCAAGCCCCTCTTGGAAGTGTCTAATGATTCACCTCCTGGTAAAGAGCCCCAGCCTTGCTCTTTGGCATTAGCTTTTCCCCTCTTGGAAGCTTCCCGTATTTGGAAGCTTTCTATTTCCAAGATCAGTATAAGCAGTGGAGACTCATTTCTTAGGATAGAAAAGGAAGATTGAAAAAGATTTACAAGCCAATCTTGAGGATTTCAGTCATTTTTTTTTTTTTTTGAGTTGGAGTCGCACTCAGTCGCCCAAACTGGAGTGCAGTGGCACACTCCCGGCCACCGCAGCCTCGACCTGCTGGGCTCTGGTGATCCTTCTGCCTCAGTCAAGTAGCCAGAACTACCAGGGCACACTACAAGCATGCCCGGCTAATTTTTATTATTATTATTATTTATTGTAGAGATGAGGTCTTGCCAAGTTGGCCGGCGGGTCTTGAACCCGAGGGCTCAGGCAATTCACTCACCTCGGCCTCCCAAAGCGCAGGATTACAGGCTGAGCCACCGAGTCTAGCCAATTTCTGTCACTTTAATACAATAGTATTTCTCTTAAAAAGGATGGCTGGGAATCCCCAGGTTTTCAGAGCATTCTATTAGTCATTGATTTGAATGGAAAGCCTACGGTGAAAAACAGGCACCTGTCTCCCTGGTGAGGCCTATGCATGGGGCACTGCCCCAAGAGTGGAAGCCCTTGGACATTTGGGGAATCCCTGCTAGAACCTCCCACCCTTCCCAGCCTCTGCCCCGTAATCATCCTGGGTGGAGCCTCCAGGCAGAGGGAGGCAGCCCTTACCACAGAAGGAAGCACCATGATCAAGTTGCCAGAGCTTGCACCAGATCACTTTAGCTAAACTGACCCAACTGCATAATGAAGGCAAAAAACTGGCTCTTCATGCTTGCTTCCTGTCCGTATTCTCTTTATTAAAAATAAAAACAAAACCCTCAAACCCAGCAGGATTCTTTCTTCTGAAACAGATATTTTATTCAAGTATCCTTTGGGCTCAGTTTTATGTTTGCAATTTAAGCCTACAATTTGAGGGGTACAGGTTTTATATTAATTCCATTTTTGTTTTGAGAGATACTTGTTAAAAATGTAGATAAGTTTTTAATGCAGATAAAAGAATGACTTTTACAACATTCCAGAGTATAAATACAGCCCCTCAATTTTCTTAATTTTTAAAACTGCAGATTCCCCCAGTTTTACTTACACTCATTTGCGGATGTGTGTGTATTAAGTTCTACACAATTTTATCACCTGTGTAAGTTCCTATATTAACCACCACAGTCAAGACACTGAACAGTTCCAACACCACAAGGATCCCGGGTGCTGCCTTTCATAGCCACACCACCCCATCTCCCTCCTGCCTGCCATCCCCATCCCTAACCCCTGGCAACCACTAACATGTCCTCCATTGCTAAGTATTTGCCATTTTAAAGTACATTAATTCAATTTTAAAACCACCAACAGCTCCACCTGATGTCAAAGTTCAATACCACTGCCCCACTGCTACACTAAATTGAATACAACCAGCCACTCCGGGAACTAAAGGTTTCCCAAAAGAATGCTATAAATGAAAATAAAAGTCATAGCCGGGCTCGGTAGCTCAGCCTGTAATCCTGTAATCCTATTTTGGGAGGCTGAGGTGAGTGGATTGCCTGAGCCCACGGGTTCGAGACCCGCCTGGGCAACTTAGCGAGACCTCATCTCTACAATAAA